TCCACATCTATTGAAGTTTTATCATGAAAGTGCAATAGTTCAGTCCAATCTTTAGGCTCCACTTCTAAATTTAGTCCTCATTATTTCCACCACATCTACAGTTATTTCCTATAAGGAAGTCTTGAAACACTCAGTCATCCATGAACACTGGAATCAACTGCTTCCAAAGTCCTGCTGATGTTGATAATTTGACCTCTTCCAATGAATCACAAATGTTCTTAACGGCATCCAGAATGAGGAATCCTTTCCAGATGGTTTTCCATTTACTTTGCCCAGGTCCATCAGAGGAATCATTATCTATGACAACTATAGCCTTACAAAATGTATTTCTTAAATTATCAGACTTGAAAGTCAAAATTACTCCTTGATTCATGGGCTACAGAATGAATGTTATGTTAGCAGGCATGAAAATGTCATTAATCTTGTATACCTCCATCAGAGCTTTGGGGTGACCAGGTGCATTGCCAATGAGCAATAACATTTTGAAAGAAATCTTTTTTATTCTGAGCAGTAAGTCTCAACAGTGGGCTTGAAATATTCAGTTAAACCATGTTGTAAACAGAGATGCTGTACTCCAGACTTTGTTGTTCCATTTATACATAACAAACAATAGATTTAACATAGTTCTTAAGGGCTCTAGAAGTCTCAGAATAGTAAATGAGCACTGACTCCAGTTTGAAGTCACCAGCTGAAGTAGCCCCTAAAAAGAGAGTTACCCTGTCCTCTGGAGCTTTAAAATCAGCATTGATTTTTCTCTAGTCATGAAAGTCCCAGGTGGAATCTTCTTCCAATAGAAGGCTGTTTCATCTACATTTAAAATCTGATATTTAGTGTGGCTACCTTTGTTAATTATCTTAGCTAGATCTTCTGGATAACTTGCTGCTAGGTCCTACATCAGCACTTGCTGCTTTACCTCATACTCTCATGTTATGGAAATTGCTTCTTTCCTAAACTTCATGAACAAACTTCTGCTGGCTTCAAACTTTCTTCTGTAGTTTCCTCACCTCTCTCAGCCTTCACAGAATTGAAGAGATTTAGGGTCTTGCTCTTGATTAGGCTTTGGCATTAGGGAATATTGTCGCTGGTTTAATCTTCTATCCAGACCAGTAAAACTCTCTCCATATCAGCAACAAGGCTGTTTCACCTTCTTATCATTCATGTGTTCACTGGAGTGGCATTTTTCATTTTTTTCAAGAACTTTCCTTCACATTCACAACCTAGCTAACTTTTTGGTTCAAGAGGCCTAGTATTTGGCCTTTCAGCTTTTGACATGCTTTCCTCATTAAGCTTAATCATTTCTAGCTTTTGATTTAAAGTGAGAAACTTAGAGAATCTCCATTTCACATGAACACTTATACTGTAGGGTTATTATTTGGCCTAATATCAATATTGAGGCTTCCTAGGTGGCTCTAGTGGTAAAGAACCCGCCTACCAATTGCAGGATACATAAGAGCGGTGGGTTTGATCTCTGGGTCAGGGAGATCCCCTAGACGAGGGCATGGCAACCCACTGCAGTATTCTTGCTGGAGAATCCCATGGGCAGAGGAGCCTGGCAGGCTGCAGTCCATGGGGTCGCAAAGAGTCAGACACAACTGAAGCAACTTGTCACGGATCAGGGAATAGGGAAGCCTGTGAAGAAGGAGAGAGATGGGGGAATGACTGGTTGGTGGGCAGTCAAAACAGCCATATTTTTCAAATTGAAGTATAGCTGATTTAACAATATTGTGTTAGTTACTGGCATACAGCAAAGTGACATATGTATATTGTCATATTCTTTTTCTTTATAATTTATTATAGGATATTGAATACAGTTCCCTGTGCTTTACAGTAGGGCCTTGTTGTTTATGTATTTTATAATTAGTAGTTTGTATCTGCTAATCCAAAACTCCTAATCTATCCCTCCCCTCTCTTTCTCCTTTGGTAACCATATATTTGTTTTCTATGCCCATGAGTCTGTTTCTGTTTTGTAAGTTCATTTGTGTCATATTCTAGATTCCATGTGTAAGAGATATCACAAGATATTTATCTTTCTTTTCCTGACTTACTTCACTTAGTATGACAATCTCTAGATCTATCTATGTTGCTACAAAAGTCATTGTTTCATTTCTTTTTACGATTGAGTGGTATTCTATTGCATATGTATACATACCACATCTTCTTTATCCATTCATTAGAACACACACATCTTAAGTTCACCATCTTATATGAGAGAGGTTGATGGTGCACTGGAACAATTATAACAGTATCAAAAATCATTGATCACAGATCACCACAACAAATACATTAATGAAAAAGTTTGAAATATTGCAAGAATTACAGAATGTGACAGAGACACAAAGTGAGCAAATGCTGTTGGCAAAAAGGCACCAATAGACTTGCTTGGCACAGGGTTGCCACAAACCCTCAGCTTTTACAAAAAATATATTTGCTAAGCACAATAAAAAAACAAGGTGTGCCTGTCTTTCTCAAAACATCCCTGTATTTTTAAAATTACTCCCCTATCCAGGACATAAATGTAAATAAAAATTTAGTTGTAAGCATGGCTCAGCAGGCTTAGTAGAACAATATTTATAATTGGAGGTTTGTAGGTTTAATGAACAAGTTCCAACAAACCTAAAAGGAGCTAATAAATGCTTTGGTATTTAAACTGTTGCCAAGCACAGGAGATACAAGGCTTCCCAACACACATTTTACCCTTGACATGTTTAAAACATGCAGTTTTGTATGTTGGCAAGCAGCCAGCAAAACACTTACTAGTGCAACATAAATTCATAACAGGAAGTCTTAGAATAAGATAGACTTAGATCGGTCAAAAAACCATTGCAAGATAAAATTTGAAATTTTGGATATGTCAAGGATTCTGGTATTAATTACCCAAATTATTTAAGGATATGTGATTTCTTAAACTTACAATGTAAGAAATATTGTTGAAAATTCTGTTCAGGACTGAGCTAAGATGCATTCCACTTACCTCATCCCTCCTCCAGCATGACTGAGGAATTTACATGGAAGATGTGGGAGAGAGGCTTTAGATAGAGCATCCATCAATATTTCATTTCTAGAAGACATTCCATCCATGGTAATTCTTTTGCTCTATCAAGGTCCCTCCCCCGCCCTTTTTTTCTTCTTTTTAATTTTTTGTTTGAACTTCAGTTGCAAATAATTGAATTAGTTATATTCTTTATGAGGCATATTATCACTTTTGTCCTTGCAAGTTCCTTATTAATTTTTTCTTTATATACTTATGTATCAGTTAATTTAATTCCTGCTTTCCTTATGCCTCATTCTCTTCTAATAGACAGCTATTTTATTCTGTTTAATGCATATTCCCCAGCAGACAGCCTTCAGACTTCATCTTCACCATCATCTCTCCTTGGTCTCTGCCTGTCAGTCCACATTTCAGGCTCACACTACAGATTTGGGCTTGCCAGCCTCCTTAATTGCGTGAGTTAATTCCTTTTAATAAGTGTGTGTGTGTGTGTGTGTGTATATATATATATATCTTCAATTGGGTCTGTTTCTGGAGAATCAGCCTAACACAATACCCCATGGAAGGAATCACCACATATTGCCTACCCACTCTGTTCTCCTTTAAAATTTATGTCATCACATATGCATGAGACAAGTGCTCGGGGCTGGTGCACTGGGAAGACCCAGAGGGATGGGATGGGGAGGGAGGTGGGAGGCGGGGTTCGGGATGTAAATCCATGGCTGATTCATGTAAATGTATGGCAAAAACCACTACAATATTGTAAAGTAATTAGCCTCCAACTAATAAAAGTAAATAGAAAAAAAATAAATAAAATAAAATTTATGTCATCACACAAATGCCATAGTGAACATCCTCCTATATGTCCCTTTGTGATCTATGTAAGAGTTTTTTTAGGGGGGTGGTTCTTAAAATGTTTTGCACATCCAGAGCCCCCTTCTTTAACGGGGAGGTCAGATCCCCTTTCGGAAGGGCTCTGTGCCATTGCTACAAGTACATACTATGAATCTTCCTCTAAACTTTCCCCCAAAGAAAACCAATCCAAAGAACAAGAGTTTGAATTCAATAATTACATGCTAGAAATAACAAAACTTAGTCAAAATTTCCCTTTGACTATGTCTTTAAAACTGTCTCTTAAAATGTCAAAAACATAGCAAATACCTGCTAAAATTTTCTAAACAGTTTTAAATTTCATTTAAATTTGCCATTAGGTGCACTGATAACTCAAACCAGTTTTAAGTGACTTAACCCTTAATTATTTTCCATGGCCGAAACCTCATATTTATTTTAATCTATGACTTCCTTGGACCATTTCTGTCTTTGCCTTCCCCAATCTATTCACTGTGGGGAAACTGAGATGATCCGACTCAAAAGAGCTCTTGGTGGTGTCAAGGTTGTTTATTCTTGCTCCTTTCCAGCTTGAGCACCGATAATCTTAGACACAAACTACCCTTGCAGACCGAAGCAGACACAGTGATTTGGAGGGCCCAAAGTCATTGTGTTCAAATGGAACCTGAAGGAAATGTACATGTAATATTTTGAAAGGAATAAAAGCATATGAGAGTCTTACTCATTATGCTTTACAAGACACATTTTTATTAGCAGTTGTCAGCAAAAGAGTCTGCTTAAAGACTTGGCAGCATCCAAAGTGGGGAAAAATGGGAGGAAAGGCTTTGCTAAAATGAAATGAAATGATAACACCAGGAAAGGCTAGCTACAGCATGGGCCATGCTTGCTGAAAGTTTATCCTCGATTAGAAAGGACCTCAGGATAAATTTCCTCACCAGCACCTGGAAGGAATGTGGGACTGAACTTAGAGAAAAGTTAGCAAGCAGGCAGTGTTTGTGCTCAGCCAGAGTCAGGCACCATGGCTATGCACTTGTAGAAAGCAGCAGATTTCAGTGGAGGTACTCCCTCAATGAAATGTTGCTTTGCAGAAGCTGGACTCATAGCTGGGTTGGCAGGAAGTCGGCAAGTAGGTGCCAGCTTTGCAGAGACTTGGGGTAGTTGGTCAGAAGCAACTGGAGCCACCACTGGCTGATTTGCCAAAACCCGTCACACAGCAAGCTGGCTGGCAGGAAGGGGATTTGCAGCCACTTTGATTGCAGAAAGTGGGTTCACCACTAGTTGGTTGGCCAGAAAGCACTGTGCCACAGGAAGCTGGTTTGCAAGGGTTCTTTACAGAACAAGGGGGCTGTCTGTTAGCCGCTGGCTGGCAGATGAAGGATAAGCATGGTGCAGGTTGGTAGTGAAGTGTCTGGCAAGGGGAGGTCACACAGCATGTAGGACTGCAAAAACTGAACACACAAGTAGACAGCTGGCAGGGAACCGGTATACAGGGAACCGTTCGGCAAGGCTTCAACAGGTAACAGATCGGTTGGTAATAAAATGATTTGCAGGGCTGATCTTCACCACGAATGGGCTGACATGAACCTGCATGGCAGCAAGTTGGCTGGCACGGACTAGCCTCACAGACAGTTGGTAGGCAAGAAGTTTCAGGACAGGAAGTGACCTCAGGGCAGGCTGGCTGACAGGACCCAGCATCACAGCAGACTGATTGGTCACAAGCTGCCTGGCACGACTCTGATGTGTAGACACGTTCCTGGCAGTAGCTTTGTTGGCAGGGGCCAGGTTCACAGCACTTTACCGAACTGCCGGTGGATTCCAAACAGGAGGGCTGGCATGAGCTAACTGGACCAGGAGACTGACCGGTGCCAGTCTCATAGCAGGCCGTGTAGGAGCAAATGGGTTGGCAAACAAAACCCACACAAGAAGTTGCTGGAAGGCAGGTAGGTTGGCAAGAAGCAGGTTCACAGCCAATTGGGGAGCTGCCACATGGCTGACAGTTTTCTTGGCATGTAACCAGTTGCCATGTTCTGCTCCGACAGGAACTAGGCAAACAGATACCATGTCGGAAACTGCCACCACTGTAGCATATGGAGGTCGTGGGCACAGCTGGGATGGCAGTGGCGTCTCCAAGGCAACAGCTGTCCCCCATGGTGCCCGTGCTAACCTTCTCAGGAGGCTGCAACCTCAGTACACCTGAGTTTGAAAGGCATCTAATACATAAGGGCTTTTATAGTCCTTTGCTAGGGGTGTTGACACAACAGAGCATCTTTCCTTGTTATTGTTTCCATCTGTTTGCATATAAACATCTGATTAGCAGGCTTTAGGAGCCTGGGAGACATTGTTCCCAGTTTAAGAATTTGTCTGTGCAGAGAAAAACCCCAAAATTCAAAAAGAAACATGCACCCCAGTGTTCATTGCAGCACTATTTACAATAGCCAGGTCATGCAAGCAGTCTAAATGTCCATCAATAGAGGAATGGATAGAGAAGATGTACATATATACAGTGGAATATTGCTCAGCCATTAAAGGAATTAAATTGTGCCATTTGCAGAGACATCGACGGACTTAGAGACTGTCATTATAGAGTGAAGTAAGTCAGAAAGAGAAAAACAAATTGTATATTAACACATATATGTGGAATCTAGAAAATGGTATGTACTTATTCATTCAGTCGTGTCCGACTCTTTGTGACTCCATGGACTGTAGCCCACCAGGCTCCTCTGTCCACAGAGATTCTCCAGGCCAGAATACTGGAGTGGGTTGCCATGCCCTCCTGCAGGGGATCTTCCCAACCCAGGGATCAAACCCAGGTCTCCTGCATCGCAGGCGGATTCTTTACCACCTGAGCCACCAGGGAAGCCCAGAAAATGGTATAGGTGAACTTATTTGCAAAGCAGAAATAGAGACGCAGACGTAGAGAATAAACATATGGATACCACACGGAGCAGGAATAGGTGGGATGCATTGAGAGATTGGGATTGATATATACGCACTGCTACATATAAAATAGATAACTAACGAGAACCTAACTGTATAGCACGGGAACTGCACTCAGTGCTCTGCGGTGACCTAAATGGGAAGGAGTCCAAGGAAGAGGGGACAGATATACATACCTGCGGCTGATTTGCTTTGCTCTACAGCAGAAACGAACACAACTTTGTAAAAGAACTATACTATAATTTAAAAAAAAATCTCATCTGTTGAGTTGGGGAGTTTTCATAGCCGAGTTTGGGTCCCTTGCTGCTGTGTCTGCTCTGAGCTAAGCTATCTCTTTTATAGCTTGTTCTCCAGCCTCCCTGAAGCAGGGCTCTCCCCAAGTTAACCTCTCATCAAGAGGCCACAGCCCACTCTTCCACCAGGAATGCAGTTCCACACCATTTAGACGATCAGGAAGTGAAGCCCTGACCCAGCTGAGGGAGGATGATAGTAGAGATGGCAAACAGAAAATCAAGGCGTGCCTCCCAATGGATACTTCAGTGTCCACACCTCTTTCTAGAATCTTCCTGTTTGGTTTCCTGAAACTCGGCTTTACTAGTACCACTAATAATAAGAACAATAGTAATGGCTTCCACTTACAGTGTTGACTGAAAAAATAAATGCACAACCTAAAAGTTAAGAGTTATGTTTTATTTGGTGAGCATTCTGAAGACTTCAAATCCGGGACACAGCATTTCAGATAACACTGAGCAACTGTTCCAAAGAGGCAAGGGAGGAGTCAGGATATATAGCAGCTTTTGCAACAAAAGGCCAGATAGTCAGAAGTGAAACCATTATTGTTAATTTTAAAAAAATCAGACATATCAAATTAATGAAACTAGAGTTTTTCTATGTATGGGAGAATGGAAAGTCTGGGCTCATTGAAATCTTTCCTTTGAAATGCACCCCAGCTATCTGAGGCCAGTATCCTATGTTTTCCGTATCCCATGTCTCCTCAGGACGCACTATTAGGGCTGGCTGCAGCACATCAGGGCAGCTGTAATGTGGTGGTCTGATGGCTGCAACATCCTTTGTTTATTGACATGGCTGGCAATATTTTTCATTCATAATAGCATACTTACTATGTACCAAGCTTTTGACTGCATTTTTCATTGAATCTTTGCAGTGATCCTACTTAGCAGATACAGTTGTCACCATTACGTTAGAGGTAGCAAAACTAACTCAGAGAATTTAAATCATGTTCCCAAACTTATGCCAGTAATAAGGGGCAGAAACAAGATTCAAACCTAGGTTGGGCTGATCCCTAAATCTTTGATCTTAACCACCTGTTTAGACTTCCCAACTTTGGAGGTGGAGAGGAAGACTCTAAAACAACGACTGAAGGCTGACCAGCTGCACTGTTTCAAGCACAGGTGGTCTAGGCCCCATGCTGGGGATCCTCTACCCACTCCAGTGACTGTAATCATCAGCTAGATCAAACTGGTATCAATACGCCCAAAGACAATCTTTTAATTTGTAAATTTAGAACTACAAAATGTTTCATTAAGAAAGATTAAACTCATACTATGGAGTCAACAGCATGGCAATTCTGTAAATATGAAACAATAACTAGAAGTTATGTAAGGACATCTCTGCAAAGAGGCTTTTGTGTTAAATCACAAAACCTCATCCAAAAGAGATTCATGAGAGACTTTCCCCTGCTCCTTTGGGCTGGTCCAGGCTCTGCATCACTGACCACCTCCAGCATCCCACACTCATCCTTGGCCTGGCGTGGTTCATGCTGAAGATACAAGATGGAATAAAGATTGTGGGTTTGGGGTGCAGATGGGGCTTGTTTTGATTTCTGGCTGTGCTGCAAACTTGGTCTGCTGGACATGTTAGCTCATTACCCATTAGTTCAAAATACTGAGAGTTAATCAACTGCATGGCTACTGCTCAGGTTATTTTTATTATTACAGTCTGCCTCACAATTTTCAAAGTACCCATTACAAAATGGCTTCTCTTCATTCTTGCTTTAAAACAATGATAAAGTTTTCTGATCACAATGCCTGAAAAATCCTCACCCTTGTCGTAAAAATGTGCTTCTTCAACAATTACTTTTCATGCTATGCCATCAGTCACTTCTTTTGCCCTCCATCTCATTGATACTCACTTTAGCATCTTGCAGACTTCAGAGATCCCTACCCTATGTTTTATTCCTGAAAGTCTACATCCCAAAACTCTCATCTGTCAAGGGGAAATACTTTTGGTCTTACCAAATAGGTCAATCAAAATGAGAACATGAACATATTTGAGAAAGCATGAAAATTTCAATCTGAAAAAGTGTAATACACTATATCCATATATACCACATTTACTGTTTCAAAGTAATCCATTTTTACATCAATTTTGCTCTGATTCTGCTCTTGCCTCCCTTCTTCTTAAAGAAACATCTCAATAGTTTCAAAAAAGGGCACAAACTTTCAGCTCTAAGATGAATAAGGTCTGAAGATCTAATGGAAAGCATGGAGACTATAGTTGATAACTCCCCATCATATAATAGAAATTTGCCAAAAGAAATTAAGGGTTATCACCAAAAAAAAGGTAAATATGTGAGGTGATGAATGTGTTAGCTAGATGGGAGGAATCCTTCCACAATATATATGTATATCAAATCATCACAGTGTACACTTTAAATTACCTCAAAATTTTGTCGGTTTTTTCTGCGTAAACTGAAGGGAAAAAAAAGCTCTCAATAGAAACAACTTTGGTTTTGCTATGGTTCAAGGCACTAAAGACATCTATCACAAAGGACTGTTGTGGTCACATCAAGAAATATGCTGATGCACTAAAAACACATGCTTGGACAGAATTGGACTTTAATCGTTTATGTTACTTACCAGCTGTGAATATCCTGAATTTTGTGTTTGTCATTTCCTTGTAAATAGATAGATTGAGATAAAATCATATATATAGATATATAATATATTTTATAATGTATATATTTGTAAATATATATATATGTGTGTGTATACATATATGTATTTGTGGTATATTGTTATTGAACTTTAAATATACATATACATATGGCCTCTGCAGGGGCTTCCCAGGTAGCTCAGATGGTAAAGAATCCACCTGCAATGCAGGAAACCCTGGTTCGATCCCTGAGTTGGGAAGATCCCCTGGAGGAGGGCATTGCCACTCCAGTATTCTTTCCTGGAGAATCCCCATGGACAGAGGAGCCTGGTGAGCTACAGTCTATGGGGTCGCAAAGAGCTGGACATGACTGAGTGACTAAGCATAACATACAACATGGCCTCAAGAGCTTTTTTTATCAATCAACATTACAATGCTAAGGTTCACTCATTTTGTTGCATGTAGCCTTTGCCCAGTTGTTCTCACTACAGCATGATATTCTATTGTGTGAATGAATATGCCACAATTTTCTTATCTGTGTTAACAGGCATTTGGATGGCTTGTCCTTCATATTCTTCACCTATAAAATAGGGGGAAAGAAATCTTACCTCACAGAATTTCTATGATTTACATGAAACACTGAGTCTGTGTTAGGCACAGAGATTTAAAAATCTGGCCAACTCATCTCTTGACTCTGGAAGGAGATAAAGATAGATCCCGATGGTCGAATGAGACAGTAACTTGAATACCAAAGTGCAGGATAAGTTTCACTTTTGAGTTTCTCCCTCTGTCCTTGTATGACCCAGTGGCTCTCAAACAGGGGAGATTTTTGCCCCTCCGCTCTGGAGATGGGCAGTTTTTGCCAATGTCTGGAGCCATTTTCCGTCATCACACTCAGGGGATGCCACTAGCATCTCGTTGGTGAAGCCAGGGATACTGCTTAATATCTTACAATACAAAGAACAGTCCCCACAACAAAGAATTATCCAGCCCAAAATGTAAATGATACCAAAGTTGAGAAGCACTGAGCTATCTCCTCTTGTGATTAGGATAGCCCAAACTGCACCTTGATGACAAGGGATAGACCTTTGACCCATGCACTAAGTACAAGGGGTTTAAAGAGACTCCTTTAAAGAGACTCTGTCCTTGCAGATTGAAAGAGCACACATATGGAGTCTACATAAAAAGTGTGTCCTATAGAGACTGAGATAACATATCAAAGCTCTTGCACAAGATAGGTTACTTTCTTTATTGTAAGTATGACCTCCCCCCTTGTTTTCATCCTATTGTGGACCCCAAAGCCCTTGGTTTCCCCCTTGTTTTCCCTATATCCAAGTCCATGTTTCACCATTCAGGTCTCCACACCAAGGCCAGAGGGACATTCCAAAACCCAGTAGTCCTCATATCACTGCCCTGCCTATGATCCCTCAATACCTTCTCATCAGCCCTGCACCAAACTCAGATGATTCTGTCTAGCACACAAGGCCTGATGAGAGCAGGTCACTGCTTACTTATCTGACCTCAGAGTTCACTCCTCTTCTAAGCACACCTCTGCCCACACTTTGCTTAATGAGTAGTATGCTTACAAGCTCAATTCATTTGTATATGTTTCCTCTGCCTAGGAAGCTCTTCCCTCCTAGTTAATTCTGGTTAATTCCTACTCGTGCTAAAAGATTCAGCTTCAGTATTATCTGTCCCAAGAGTAATTCCCTGTTTCTCCCCATGCCCTGCTGGGTTCACAGTACTGAATGCTTGCCTCTACCCCAGGACTTAGCACAGTGGAATGAAGTAATTGCCTCTCTGCCTATCTCCCCATTAGAGAATAAGCTTCCTGAGAGTGGACTGAAGCTTCTATCTTTTCATTCCCAGAACTCATCTCAGTCCCTGGCACCTAACAGCTATCTAGCAAAGCTTCTTGGTTGGAGGGATGGATGGATAGATGGATGGATGGATGGATGGATGGATGGATGGATGGACAGACGGATGAATAGATGAGTAAAGCTGCTCTCAAAGATGAAGCAAGTCAGCTGACTAGAATATGACATGAACAAGACATAAATGAGAAGAGTTTGTTACTTCAACTTTAACCATGTTTATTGGACAGTTAAATATCTTTATGTCATGGAAGAGGTCACCAAGGAAGAGGAGCCCACACAGCAAGGGAGCACATGCATGAGGACAGAAAAATATTTATTCCAGGAAAGAGACTTGAGATGATACCACAAAACAGATTTTCTCAGCTCAATGGCAGTAGCAGAAAGGAACCCAGAATGGCCCCATCTCGTGCCCAGAAGATCATCATTTGGGCCATTAGGAGACTGACATTTCTGATGAGTTCTTTGAAGTATAAGCCATCTGGCAAGTGATGCCAGAAAGAAAAAGATTTTAAGTCAGAATGAGCTTTGGGGAAAGCAGACAAATTTTTTATCTAGCCGGAGGCATGAGTTGCAGGCATTGGTTGGCCATGGCCGGTTCAGTAGTTGGTAGGCTTGGTGGCAGCAGGCTGACTGACTGCAGCCTCGTGGGTGGTGGGACTGGTGGGCTTGGCCTCAGTGGGCTGGCAGGGACTGGCCTCTGAGACCTCCGTCTTGCAGGGAGTTGAGTCAGCACAATCCGGTTGGCTGGAAGTGGACTTTTTGCAATCCCGTTTGCTGGAGTCAGCACAAGGCAAGCGGGAGCAGACCGGGCGATAAGGGATAGAAGTGACGCAGGCTGGACGACGCAGGATGGAGTAATATGGGCGATAGCAGGCCGGGCGGTAGGAGAGGGATGTCGAATATGGCTGCCTATAGGTGATGGGTCCAGAGCAGATTGGGCGGCAAATCGGGCGGTAGGAGATTGAAGTAGTACAAGGTTGTTTGCAAGAGCTGGGTATGTAGAAAGTTCGCGAGCAAGTTGGCTGGCAGACGGCAGATGCAGAAGACCCTGGGCGGCAGGAGAGAGGTCGGCAGGATGGAGGCGGGCAGGAAACGGGCTCACAGGAGATGGACCGACTGCGCTTGACTACGTAGCAGGTAGGTTGACATGGCCTGGACACACAGACACTTGGTAAGCAGGGGCTGGGCTCAGAGCAGGTGGGTTGGCAGATGCTGGAGACACAGCAGGAGGGCTCTTGGCAAGTGCTGGAGACACAAGGTGGCTCACAAGGACTTGAAACACAGCAGACCGGACGGATGCAGATGGGCTCACAGACCAGAGAAGCACGTGTGGCTGGCTGGCAGATGCTGAACTCTGAGCAGGATGGCTCACAAGGACTGGAGTCACAGCAGGCAGACTGGCAGCTATTGGCCACAGAGCAGATAGATGGACAGCATCTGACACCGGAGGACACAGGCTGGTAGCAACTAGGCTCACAGATCACTGGCTGGCAGAGGATGGGCTGGCAGGAAGTGGGTACGCAGAGGACTCGTTGGCAGGGAGGGACCTCACAGCACACAGGCTGGGCACAGCTGCTCACGGAGCAAGAGGGCTCACAGATGCTAGCCTCACAGCTCACAGGCTGGGCACAGCTGCTCACGGAGCAAGAGGGCTCACAGATTGTGGCCTCACAGCTCACAGGCTGGGCACAGCTGCTCACAGAGCAAGAGGGCTCACAGATGGTGGCCTCACAGCTCACAGGCTGGGCACAGCTGCTCACAGGACAGGCAGGCTCACCGATGGTGGCCTTGTAGCTCACAGGCTGGGCACAGCTACTCACGGAGCAAGAGGGCTCACAGATGGTGGCCTCACAGCTCACAGGCTGTGCACAGCTGCTCACAGGACAGGCAGGCTCACAGATGGTGGCCTTATAGCTCACAGGCTGGCCACAGCGGCTCACAGAGCAAGAGGGCTCACAGATGGTGGCCTTGAAGTACACAGGCTGGGCACAGCTGCTCACAGGATAGGCAGACTCACAGATGGTGGCCTTGTAGCTCACAGGCTGGGCACAGCTGCTCACAGAGCAAGAGGGCTCACAGATGGTGGCCTCACAGCACACAGGCTGGGCACAGCTGCTTACAGGACAGGCAGGCTCACAGATGGTGGCCTTGTAGCACACAGGCTGGGCACAGCTGCTTATGGGACAGGCAGGCTCACAGATGGTGGCCTCACAGTACACAGGCTGGGCACAGCTGCTTACGGGACAGGCAGGCTCACAGATGGTGGTTTCATAGCACACAGGCTGGGCACAGCTGCTTACAGGACAGGCAGGCTCACAGATGGTGGCCTTGTAGCACACAGGCTGGGCACAGTTGCTCACGGGACAGGAAGGCTCACAGATGGTGGCCTCACAGCTCACAGGCTGGGCACAGCTGCTTACGGGACAGGCAGGCTCACAGATGGTGGTCTCACAGCACACAGGCTGGGCACAGCTGCTCACAGAACAGGAGGGCTGACAGCATTGTGGGTCACAGCTGGATGATCCGCAGCTATCTTGACAAGTCACCAGTTGCCACGTCTGGCTCCGGCAGGAACTGGGCAAGCAAACAGGCCCTCTGCAGCTCACTTCAGTGGAGCAAAGGGAGATGGCTGGCACGGAGGGGCATTTCCTAGAACAGCAGTTTCCAGACATGGTGGAGGTGCTTCTGCTCCCTTGCCAGTGCTGAGAGGTTGCTGCCTGACTGGATCAGCTCTCCAGAGCCCTCACTTTTATACCCCCAACACTGGCACGTGCTGTTTTGAGCCCCTGCATCTTTTCCTTATTGTTGTTTGGGCCAGTTTTCAGAGAAACATCTTATTATGCCAAGATTTGTTGATCTGGAAGCTGTTTACATACCCATAAAGAAGCTGTTTCTTTATTGACTTGCTAACTTTGGAATCCTTGGAGCTACAGGTCATCTTGGAATAAGCATCATTGCCTCCAAGCTTGAATGATCTGTATTTCTGAGCATCATGAACAGAGGGAGAAGAAAGGAACTTATAATTTAACCATCTTCTAGTCCTTTGCACCAGGCCCTGGGCAGAACACAGGGGGTATCCACATGAATAAGACCTACTCACCCATTCTCATGGATCTCACTGTCTGATGGGCAAGCATGGAAGTAAACTCACTACAATGCAACAATAAACTCAACAATAGACATAAAGGGATTAGCAGAGAGGAGCAGCGGTGAGCTCTGTGAGAGAGGGAATATCTGAGCTGCATTTTAAAGGCTGTACTTCAAATATACCATGCTGATGGATTGGAAGAATCAATATAGTGAAAATGAGTATACTACCCAAAGCAGTCTATAGATTCAATGCAATCCCTATCAAGCTACCAATGGTATTTTTCACAGAACTAGAACAAATAATTTCACAATTTGTGTGGAAATACAAAAAAACCTCGAATAGGCAAAGCAATCTTGAGAAAGAAGAATGGAACTGGAGAAATCAACCTGCCTGACTTCAGGCTATACTACAAAGCTACAGTCATCAAGACAGTATGGTACTGGCACAAAGACAGAAATATAAATCAATGGAACAAAATAGAAAGCCCAGCGATAAATCCACACACCTATGGACACCTTATCTTTGACAAAGGAGGCAAGAATATACAATGGAGAAAAGACAATCTCTTTAACAAATGGTGCTGGGAAAACTGGTTAACTGCTTGTAAAAGAATGAAACTAGAACACTTTCTAACACCATACACAAAAATAAATTCAAAATGGATTAAAGATCTAAATGTAAGACCAGAAACTATAAAACTCCTAGAGGAAAACATAGGCAAAACACTCTACGACATAAATCACAGCAGGATCCTCTATGACCCACTTCCCAGAGTAATGGAAATAAAAGCAAAAATAAACAAATGGGACCTAATTAAACTTAAAAGCTTTTGCACAACGAAGGAAACTATAAGAAAGGTGAAAAGACAGCCTTCAGAATGGGAGAAAATAATAGCAATGGAGCAACTGACAAAAGATTAATCTCAAAAATATGCAAGCAACTCCAGCGGCTCAATTCCAGAAAAATAAATGAAAAAAAATCAAAAAGTGGGCCAAAGTACTAAACAGACATATCTCCAAAGAAGACATACAGATGGCTAACAAACACATGAAGAGATGCTCAGCATCACTCATTATCAGAGAAATGCAAATCAAAACCACAGTGAGGTACCATTTCACACCAGTCAGAATGGCTGCTATCCAAAAGTCTACAAGCAATAAATGCTGGAGAGGGTGTGGAGAAAAGGGAACCCTCTTACACTGTTGGTAGGAATGCAAACTAGTACAGCCACTATGGAGAACAGTGTGGAGATTCCTTAAAAAACTAGAAATAGAACTGCCATACAACCTAGCAATACCACTGCTGGGCATACACACCAAGGAAACCAGAACTGAAAGAGACATGTGTACCCCAGTGTTCATTGCAGCACTGTTTACAATAGCCAGGACATGGAAGCAACTTAGATGTCCATCAGCAGTCAAATGGATAAGGAAGTTGTGGTACATATACACAATGGACTATTACTCAGCCATTGAAAAGAATACATTTGAATCAGTTTTAATGAAGTGGATGAAACTGGAGCCTATTATGCAGAGTGAAGTAAGCCAGAAAGAAAAACATCAATACAGTATACTAATGCATATATATGAAATTTAGAATGATAGTAACAATAACCCTATATGCACGACAGCAAAAAAGACACAGATGTATAGAACAGTCTTTTGGACTCTGTGGGAAAGGGCAAGGGTGGGAAGATTTGGGAGAATGGCATTGAAATATGTATATTATCATTTGTGAAATTAATCACCAGTCCAGGTTCGATGCATGGGACAGGGTGCTCAGGGCTGATGCACTGGGATGACCCAGAGGGATGGGATAGGGAGGGAAGTGGGAGGGGGGTTCAGGATGGGGGACACATATACACCCATGGCTGATTCATGTCAATGTATGGCAAAACCACTACAATATTGTAGAGTAATTAGCCTCCAATTAAAATGAATAAATTTATAAAAAAAAAATAAAATAAATGCTACACTTCACAATGAAGATATCATTTAAAACCATCAGAAATCCCATGAAGCAAGGATTCATCTCCATCCCCATCCCCCTGATTATAGGTGAAGGAAAAGAAAGGGAGTTAGAAGGTTTCTCACTTGCTAAAGATCACACTCAGCTTGCCCACTAATCTAGGGCTACTCTCTTCCTCTTCACCATCCTGTCGGACAACCTTTCTCAGGAGCCACATGTCACAGGCTCAGCCCACAATGCTGTCCTCCATCCTGTCTTGTGAGCAGCTCTCCTCTAGAACAGTGGCTCTCCCTATCCCTGGAAAGCACTTGACCTAGCCTCTCTGCTTCTCCTCCCTCCTTTCCTTCCACCCGCCCCCACCTCAAGCATTCAGTAGCCCTCCAGAATCCTTCTTGCCTTTGGTGATTTTAGCAACTACTAAAACAACTCCTCTGAGATGTAAAGAGGGAAGACAAGGGGTCTTTTGAGAAGACATAGTGAACAAAAACAAAGAATACAAATTCTTTCTCAAAGCATTTTGTCAGTGCTACCACTTGAGACAGACACAAGGTAAAAAATGAAACCTAGGCTTCTAAACACCAAGGCCTGACACCCTTGCTGAATGAAGGACCTGCATTGTTTCCACCACATTCTTTTAATATCAATGCATAAGGCAGGCTCTCCTTTGGAAAAGTTGGACTATTATGGCAACCATTCATCATCCCTTCCTTCATTCATTAATTAATGTAGCCATTCAGACTACAGATTTCTCTTTTACTCATCCATTCAACTCAATCATCATTGGGTTCTGTATGAGGGATACAAAAAAAAAAATGACTTTCAATTCCTCCACAAGGAGTCCAAGTTTAGAAGAAAGACAGATATATACATAAGTAATTATGGGAAAATATATGTATAAGTGCAGTAGTACATGGATACACAAAGAGTTACAGGGGACACCCAGGAGAAATACAAACATGCTTTTGGGAGAAGTTAGGGAAGATTTCTCAAGTAATAGCATGACCAAATTGAATCCTCAAGGAATAAGGCTGAAAATGGGATGGTAAAGGTAAGGAAAGAATCTGCTATGGAAAACAAAGGCAAGAGCATGATACATTTGGTGAGCAACAAATGGTTCAATAGCCAGGATGAAAAGTACAAGTGGACAGACTAGGACAGTGACCAGACTAGAATAGTTACTGAGCACTCATGAAAGACCTTGTGAACCATAATCAGAATTTGGGTTTTATACTGACACCTGGGAATTTTAAGCAATGGAGTAACTTGACCAGGTTTGACCTTCAGAAGGTCTCTCTGTCCCTGGAGAAAGGATTGGTGAAGGAAGGCAAGCCTGAAGGTAAGGAGATCATTATGGATGGATCCGGAGTGTTTTAGTCACTAAGTCATGTCCAACTCTTGTGACCCCGTGAACTGTAGCCCACCAGGCCCCTCTATCCATGGGATTTTCCAGGCAAGAATACTGAAATGGGTTTCCATTTCCTTCTCCAGGGGATCTTCCCAACTCAGGGATTGAACCCAGGTCTCCTGCACTGCAGGCAGATTCTTTACCAACTGAGCTACTAGGGAATTCCATGGATCTGGGGCAATTACCCAAAACTTTCATGTTATCAACCTGAACTGAGCAGTACCTTGGGACTACAGCAATAAGAGGAAGAATCTACAGAACTTAGTGGTTGAAAATGGAAGATTAAAAATAGGAAGTGCCATTGTTTGAGATGTGGCTCTCAGGCAGTAAGGAAAGAAGACTTTTGGACAGCTTTGCAGATGGTAAGGCAGAAGAGGCATTCCCAAGATCCTGGTCCCCACCTTTCCAATTCTCTCCATTCACCTCCTCAGCTAAGTCAGCAATGAAATTCCAGATGGAGATGGCCCTGCTCCCAACAAATCCTTTATAGACTCTTAGCAGAGAAACATATAGCATCATCTGTTTGGCTGGAATATCATCTCTCTAAGGAATTTTTCCCTGCTAACTGATTTAAACCACTCTTTTAACTATCTAGTACATTTCTACCTTGTCCTTTTTAATAGCTCTTTTCCTCTTTGATGTTATCCAAGCACGAGAATGTAAAGGATTTTGTTTATTTGCTAATGTATATCCAGCACCTGGGCTTCCCAGGTGGCTCAGTGGGTAAAGAATTCACTTGCAATGAAAGAGATGCAGGCAGACATAGGTTCAATCCCTGGGTCCGGAAGATATCCTGAAGGAGGGCATGGAAACCCACTCAAGTATTCTTGCCTGGATAATCCCATAGACAGAGGAGGCTGGTGGGATACAGTCATAGTGTTGCAAAGAGTCGGACATGACTGAAGCAACTGAGCACACACACATGCACACATCCAGCACCCAGAGCCATATTTGATACATAGGCAGGTCACAATTAATATTTATTGAATGAATGAATGAAGACCTCTGTGAACAACTATAAAGGGCAATTATCAGTAACTCAAAGAAATTACTACCCTCTACTCACCCATCTGGGAGACCATGGCCATGAAAAAGGGAACAATCAGCCACTCAATATTCAATGAACTCTTGGCAACTTGGTCCCATTGACACACTGCTGCTCAGCTGTGACTCTGTCTTGGAGGTTAAAGAGCCAGTTTTTAGGATGC